TGTAAGAAGGTCGCCAGCTACTCTCTACTTCGCCGGCAAGGGTTGTGAACAGAAACCGACGGGAGGTCATTGATCGAGGAGGTCGCTGATGTTCGAGGGTCGAGGGGCCAAGATGGAGGAGGTGAAGGTGGTGAGGATTCGGGCCGAGTGAATGGGACCGATCTCCATGGCTTCTCGGCGCTGGCGATGGGTCACTCACGGCTATGCGAGGAATCTGAAACTCGAACCTGCTGCTACTAATGGCGGAGAAGTCGGCGACTATGCTGCAAGAATTAATCTCGAGCGGATACTGCAAATCACGAAAAGGAAAAAGAAATTGCCGCTTATGCTCATGGAAATCACCGACAGAGAAAGATCGATGGCTCTCGATTTGATGAGAGACCTAGATTATTCGGCGATTTAAGGTCTGGGATTTTGGGCGATTTAAAGGGACAACGAAAACTCTCAGATTTGCAGCGTGAGGAAAAGAAAAAAAAAAGAACAAAGAGATGAGGGAAAGAGATTAAAGAACGAAAAAAAAGAAAGAGATAAGAGAGAGAGAGAGATTAACGAGAAGAGGGTGAGAGAGAGAAAGGGATAATTCCTACAATTATGCTAAAGGATAACTTCTATTATTTTATAAAAAAATCGTAATATTGAATGTAAGTTAAAGAGTTCGTACTTTTAATAATATGTAGTAGAGGATGAGTAAGGGGGGTAATTTTCTCTTTTTTTTTTTTAATGTATCTTTAAAAAGCCCGTATCATATATATTAAGAAAAAAAAGCATGAAATGGCATGATGAGGTCTGGCCCAATAATTATGTAATTGTATTATTACATAAATCAATCAACATATTACTTTGGCCCATATAAGTATGTAATAGTATTTCAAAAATCAAAATTACTATATAATATTAAAATATCATTAATATTGCAAGTAAAAAACATAAAATATGTTATTTAGTTTATAAATTTTATATTGAAAAATACTTGAACACATATTTTTTTAATTTTAAAAATAAATTATTATGCCATATATATAGAGAAAATAAATTAATATAAAATGAATATAAATACTATATATATTGTCTACGTTTAACAAGAACAAAGTCTAAAGTCTTTTAATTCTATGCATAATTGTGTGTGTATATACACACTCAAGATAAATGTTTTATTTGTTTCAATTAAATCTTAAGTCTTAAATTTACATTTTCAATAAACGTACATGCCTTTTTCCATTTAACATTCAGCGGCGGCAGTTCCCACTTACGGTTTCGTATGCCACGACAATAAACAAGAGTCATGAGCAGTCTTTATCTCGCGTCGGTCTTTTCATGAAGAAACATGTTTTTTGTCACGACCAATTATATGTTGTTGTTTCACGTGTAACTGATAGATGTGGGTTAAAGATACTCCCTCCTTTTTTAAATAAATGTCGTTTTGACTTTTTTGATTCATTCATTTTGCTATGTATCTAGACATATTAATGTCTAGATACATAGCAAAATGGATGAATCAAAAAAGTCAAAATGACATTTATTTAAAAAAGGAGGTAGTATTAGTTTGTGATAATGACAGAGTTACCCAATAATCAAACTCATAATGTTGTGTACAAGGAGATTTTTAATAATATATGATTGTTTCGTGACGAACATTTTATAATTCAATAATGTTCCTATATATTATAATTCTTTTACATCCTAATGCATGCCAAATTATATTATTCTCCAAATTTATATAGCCCGTGCATCGCACGAGTTTCGCGCTATTCATGTGAAGAACACTAAGTTAGTGTGTTTTTTTTTTTTAAATGGAAGTTATTGATTTAATTTTCACGCACTATTGATTCAAATTAAAGGCATTATTTTATGATAATGATAAATTTAATAAATAATCTACATATAAGTAAGTGTCTCATAATATATAAATGGTATTGGTAATATTTTATGATAATGATATCTAAATCTAATGAATAATCTACATATAAATAATTGCCTCATTATCTTTTAATCCATCCAACAAATATATGTTACGTAAATGGGCCTACAAAACAAATTGTACAGAGTAGAAAAGAGCCCAACATCATGGACCGGCCAGCCTGGCAACTGTCAGAATCCAACTTGAGCTATCATCCCACAAATCTCATGATTAAAAATTTAAAACCCAACTTTTTCCAACATTTGATAACACGCTTTTAGATGTGTAGTCAACAGCGCTTTTATTTTATTCTTCCTTTCCCAGTCAAGAATCGTTAAAAAGGATATAATCATCATCATATTCACTGTTGAGTGTGGTTCAACTTCCTCCGCAGCTGCCGGCGGCGAATCTCCGCTTGGATTCAGGATTTTGGGCCGGCATTGATCTGGGTTTGTGTACTTCTCGTTAAGAAATCGTTGACAATTTGGTGGTTTATGTTCTTGTTGATTTAGTGTTGGGTGGTTGGATCTGTGTGATTTTGCTGGTGGGGTTTTGTGCGCGTTTTATGTGCGGGTTTTATTTTTGTGTTCCTTGGACTGAAGGGCATTGATGTGTTGTTTGGTTCAGATGTTTGGTTCAGATGGTGATGAGGGTCGCTTTTTTTTTTTTTTTTTTTTTTTCCCCTTTTTCGTGTGTTATGTGTTGTTAATGTTATGTGTGAATCTCGAGCTGGAATTTGATTTTGTTATAGGAAATAAGTGTTTGTTAGTCCTTTTTCGTTCATGGGGACTTTTCAAGTTTGGATTTTGTTGAATGAAGTAGATGATTTGACTGGAAAAAAGTTGGTTCTGAAGAATCAGACAGCCTTTAATTATGTTTATTCGTAATGTAGAACATTCGTCCTTGGTGGAAAACATAAACACACGACATACGAATCGAGATTGTGGTGATTTGAGATATACGATATTTCCGGATTTTGCATCTTGGATTAATGTCTTGGTACAATGCAATCACAAGTTTGGACTGATCTGATTGTTTTATGTCTTGATGGTTTAATCATATACTAGGTCCATTGTTAATTATCTTTGAAAATTCCGGACCGGATTCTTCTCGTTTGTAAACTGTTCAGTTCACAGTTGATTCGTTCAACTTCATGGGGGAAAATGATTTATGTGCACTTCCTTGGCTATAAAACTTTTCGACAGTCATCCAAGCTGCAAAGTGTGTTTAGTTTTGGTTTTATTTGAAATGTTGAAATATTAATCTGTACTTTTTTTTGTTTCCTTTCTTTGTAATGAAGCTTGTTCTGGTGCAATATTATTATTTTATCCCCGATACTGACATTTTCTTCAAAATAACAGTCATATTTTGCTAGTACAAAGATGGTGGTGCAGGGATTTACTGTTGACTTAAATAAACCTCTTGTCTTCCAGGTAAAACACCGGTCAATCTAGTTATAATAAATACTCGTTTTATTTAGAGTTATTATTTGAAATTCTGAAGTTTATAAGTAAATTTCTGCAATGAATACCTATTGACTTTGTAAATTTTATACTTATGATTCCTCATTGCTCGAGGTCACCCTTTATTTTATCTCATAGTGAACGAACTTTCTTATTTTTCATAGGTTGGCCATCTTGGTGAAGAATATCAAGATTGGGTTCATCAGCCAATTGTTAGCAAGGAAGGCCCTCGATTTTTCGAAAGTGATTTCTGGGAGGTACTCATTTTGAGTTCCTCATAATCACATCTAAATTTTGTCCAGCTATTTTTGTTTTTTGCACTATATAAGCCATTCATGTCTTGAATTTTTTTCCTTTGAATAGTTTTTGACCCGTACGCAATGGTGGGTTATCCCTCTTATCTGGCTGCCGGTTGTTTTCTGGTTCGTTTCGAGGTCCGTTAATTTGGGCCACACAATACCTCAAATTTTGGTGATTGTTTCTCTCGGCATTTTGACTTGGACACTTACCGAATATACTCTGCACCGATTCCTTTTTCATATTAAGACAAAGAGTTATTGGTAAGTGAAAAATCCCTTATTGTTGTGATTTCTTGATTATATTTTGTTTCGATAAACAGCTTTTTTTTTTGGTGAACTTTTCAGGGGAAACACAGTTCATTATCTTCTCCATGGTTGTCATCATAAGCACCCAATGGATGGTCTGCGTCTCGTTTTTCCACCTGCTGCGACTGCTGTTCTTTTATATCCCGTGAGTATGCTAGTTCATCATTTTTTTTTGTGCCGTTTATTTCTCATTTTCTCAAAATAAGTAAATAAATAAATAAATAAAAATTCTTATTAGTGTGAACTATTCATATGTCTATTATTACAGTTTTGGAATTTGATAAAATTAATATCGACTCCAACGATGGCGCCTGCATTATTCGGCGGCGGTTTGCTCGGTTATGTTATTTATGATGTCACTCATTATTATGTGCACCATGGCCAGCCCACCAGTGAAATACCTAAGGGCCTCAAGGTAAAAATGCTCTCCACATTTCTCCAACTTAGGATATGTTTGGTAAAGTTAGCTGATAAACTAGTTTATAAATTATAAGTGATTTTCGAGCTTATAGCTGAAAAAAAACTAGCTTGTATGATAAAGAGTTTGGTAAAACTAGCTGCAAACATAACATTATTAGCCGGAATCAATTATTTACTCGGCTCTTCTATTAGACAGGCCTAACTAGGCTTGCATATTTTCATTACAAAACATCAGTAACATAAACAAAAATACGACATTTAATAGTATAAAGTATGAATTTTTGTATAATGTTGTCTCACACCCGAATGTATGTTAATAAAGGTAATATATCAGCTTATATCGTTTTTTTGATTTCTATTTTGCAGAAATATCATTTGAATCATCATTTTCGGGTTCAGAACAAAGGATTCGGGATCACATCGTCACTTTGGGACAGTGTGTTTGGAACTCTACCTCCATCAAAACTGGGTAACAAGAGGTAGATGGTTTCATCTGTCTGAAATCATAAAAACATTTCGCGGTAATTATTGAAATGCACGACCCGAAAAACCCTTCGCCTCCCGTTCTCTTCGCGCCAGCTTTGCAGTATCAATGTACTATTTATTTATCTTTGTGGACAAAAAAACACAAAATGGTATTTTGGATCTGATATTCATTTCTTTAGTTTGTATGATTTGTTATGGAATTTGGTTAGCTGGATCATATTCTTTGTTAGGTGCATGTTCTTATCAATGTACTATTCTGGAGAAAAAACCCAAAATGGTATTTGGATCTCATATTCATTTATTTTGTTTGTATAATTTGTTATGAAATTTGGTTAGCTGGATCATATTCCTTGTTAGGTGCATGTTTCTATCAATGTACAATTTATCTTTGTAGTGAAAAAACACAAGCTTTAATTGTAGTATCAATGTACTATTTATCTCTGTGGAGAATAAACCCAAAATGGTATTTTGGATCTGATATTCTTTTATTTTGTTTGGTATGGAACCATGGAATGGCTCCATTCAAAACATTATGGACTGTAATGTGCCCAATGTGTATTTAATGCAATGCAGGACATGTGTCAATACACCATTTGCGAACAACTGTGGATGACTCTATAAGCCGAGCCATCGAATGGCTCCATAGCAAAATCGTTTGTCAGAATTCTATGAAGTCATCGGATGACTCTTTTATGGAGCCATTCATTCCTTTATGTACTGACACATGTTCATTGTGCATTTATATCAGTATACGTGTCAATACATCATTTGTGAATATTTATAGATGACTCCATAAGTCGAGTCATCCGATGACTCTATAACAAAACGGGTATCCCCATTTTCCTCTATATATATTTTTCATAAGCAAACACCCTCTATCCCTCTATATATCCTCATTAATTCATCCATTCCATAAAATCTGTCCTCCAAAAACCTCTTAATACTGCACACACACACACACACACACATAGATAGAATATTATCATTATTATTCAATCAATGTGGAGGATTAAAAAAAAAACCATAAATCTCCTCATT